CTGTTTGCAGAGCAGTTCCTGGTGCAGGGTATGCACGCAGTCAGAAGCTATGCCTGGTCGTAGGGGCCAAGAGGGCAGAAATCACTGGGCCTTTTGGACCCCGGAGGATGGGCAAGAACGATCTTGTGGTAGATGAGCAGGCAGCCTTCTTCAGGGACAGGGGGATAGAGCCTCTTTGAGAAAAAGGCAGCTTCCAACTCCTGAGCCTGTCCAGGGATTAGAGGATGGGTCCAGAGGTGAGAAATTGGAAGCTGAGGCCCGGGATTGGGCTGCCAGGTGGGTGGCATCCACCCAGGGTGGGAGGAGAGCAGAGCTGGGTGAGCTGACAGCCTCCCCTGGCAATGAATGCTGGGCTCCTCCCTGAGTAAGCAAATACCCTGTGTCTGGAAAACGAAATAAGCTGTGTGGCTTGTCAACACTAAGCCCAATGCACCCCGAGTTGTCAGGCTCAGTCCCGTAGCCCCCTCTGGGACCTGTGATGCTGGCATGTCTCTTTGGTGCTACCTTGTGGGCCCAGGAGGCCTGGCTGGGACTCCAAGACCCGGCTCCCAAGCTTCAGGCTCCTGGTGTGTGCGTGTTGGGGTGGGTGGTCCTGGGGGGCAGCCCCAGATAGCTGGGAGCCCAGAGGGAACAGGTGTCTGGGGCTGGGGCTGGAGAGTTATTTCTGCCCTATCCCGCACCCGCCTCGCCCCTTCTAGCCTGGCAGGTTTGCCCAAGCTTCTGCAAAGCCCTTTGGGCCTGGAGGCAGACTTGTTATGCCTCTGGAGAAATGAGCCTGGATTTCCACTGCTGACTTCTCTTTTAATTAGATTCTGACAGCAGCATGCAGGCTGGCTGGCTGCAAATTCAGGTGCAGCCTTCCATGGTCCCAGACCTCTCAGCTTCAGCGTGTTTGGCTTTCTCGGAGGCAGGAAATGCTTCTGACCTTTCTGTGGGAGTTGGGCAGGAGGCTGGCTGCACGTGTGTGTGTGTGTTTGTGCCTTCGTGAGCAAGGACGTGTGTGCTGCTGTTTGGAGAAGTCTGCAGACAAAGCTTGTTGGGCCTCCCCGGCCATTCTGCTGTCCCATCTATCCGTCCGTCTGCTGACTGATGGCAGGCGCTGAGCGGAGTCCTGTCCGGACTCAGTGTCCTCATCCGTGATTGGGGTTGATGGTGCCTCAGCTGGCTTTTCCCAGCAAGGCCTCGTGGGAGGTTTACATTTGAACTGGGGGGTTCCTCCTGTGGGCTGGTGCTGGAAAACAACACACCACCCTGAGGGTTTCCTTGAAGGCGACTTCCTCTCAAGAAAAGAGAACTGAAAGTCAGCACAGCCAGGGCTGTGGGCAGCAGAGACGGGGTGGAAGGCCGGAGAAAGAAATACCGCCCCTGCACCGCGTGGACCTCTGAGCCTCCTGCACCTGGGCCTTCACTGGGGACTGGGGGAGGGTGTCTGGGGAAAGAGGGACACAGGTCCCCCCCACCTCAGGAACTCTTGCCCTGAGCCCCCAGTCTGAGGGAGGAGACAATTCCCTGCCCTCTGAGCATGCCCAGCCTGATATGAGACCCTGTCCTTGCCCCCGGAGAGCCTCTGCCAGGTGGAGTGACACACCCCTGCTTTTGGTGAACTTTCTGTCCACCTGGGAGCTACAGCTTCTGTTCTCAGGGGTCTCCTGTAGGGGGTGAGCTGTGTAGTAGAACCTAGCCTCCAGGGAGCAGCCTGGAGTCTGGGGAGAAGGGGGACAGTGCTCCACCCCTTCCCTCCCCTCCCCACCCCCGTTGCACCGTGTAGCTCAGCCCATCAGGACTGGCTCAGAAAAAGCTATTCCCTTGGACATCTCGCAGTCTCGCCGTCCTGGGCCCCACATTCTGGTCAGGAGTGAGCCCCAAGTTCATTGGCCTGGCTTCCCATGCAGACCGCTATTCCCAGCTTCTTTATCTCAGTGGGAAACCTCTTAGTGATTTGAGCCAGGATGGAGCTGGGGCTGAGGGCAGGGTTGGAGCGACTCTTAGGGCAAAATAAACCAAGACGTGTTACTCTTTCTGAACTTGCAAAGCCCACGCCAGGCCTTCTGGGCCAGCCCAGGAATCCAGTCTCCTGCCACACAGTCACCAGACTGAACTTCTTTAGAAGTAAACCCTTGAGTCACTTACCAGCTTGCCCGCTCCAACAAGTAAATACAATCTAAACTTTTCACCATGGACTTCTCTGCCCAGCCCTCCCACCTCTGTCTTATCCTATCTGTTCCTCATTCCTGCCTCAGGGCCTTTGCACTTGCTGGAATGCTCTTCCCCCTCCTCCCAATCATCCCTGGCCTGTTTTCTTCACATTATTTACATCTCTAGCTAAATTCCACTCCCCCTCAAGGGGTCTTCCCTGACCATCCAGTCTTAATGGCTTTCGGTATTTTTTCTGTGCAGTGGTTATCACTATTTGAAGTAATCCTTCTTTGTTTTAATTGTGTCCTTTGCTGGGAACGTTAGCTCCATGAGAGAGGGCCCCCTGGCCATTGACCATCCAGTCTTAATGGCTTTCGGTATTTTTTCTGTGCAGTGGTTATCACTATTTGAAGTAATCCTTATTTGTTTTAATTGTGTCCTTTGCTGGGAACGTTAGCTCCATGAGAGAGGGCCCCCTGGCCATCTCGTCCGTCACTATATTTCCAGTGCTTAGACCCATGCCAGGCACCTAGTAGGGACAACCTCCACTTACGAATGGGGGGAAATGAGATTTAATAGCAGGTCTGATTCCAAATAAATGTTCCATCCAGCATCTTCCTGCAGTCCTGGGCTTCTACCCAAGATATACTCTTAACAGAAAACATGGAAAAACCAGAAAACTGGAAAAGAGTAGAATCACCAGGTACCACCCCTGGAATAATCCTCAGTGTGCTGGTTTCTCGTCCCCTGACCCTCTTCCTTCCCCGATTTTGGATGTGACTTTTTTTTTTTGTGCTTACTATAACATTCACATTTTTTTGCATTCATCATATAGGGTCTGTAAATATGATTTTCAATGGACATAGGACATACACCAGAGTACCTGACTGACGAGTGGTTGGGCATTTAGGTTGTCTCTAGGTTGGTGTGCTCGAGTTTGTCTATATCTGAGTAACAACGGAGTTTCATAGGTGGGATTCAAGTGTCCATCCATTTGCTCTTTGACCAAATTTTACTGTGCACTGGGCCTGCAGCCATGCAGGGGGGATGCCTCAGCGCCTGTCCTTGGAGCTCATGGTCTAGTGTGGGAGGA